GATTCGAAGTTATCTGTTATCATATCTTCATCCTCTTCTGGGCCTGGAGTGTATTCCTTTGGTTCATCGCGTTGTGCTTCAGAGAAGAGCCTCCTATTGACTGGAGGTTTGTCTTCAGTTTGATTTTTTGGTTTGTTGGTGCTAGATTCACCTTGGTTTTTTGTTGAAGTAACCCCTTTGTTTGCCACAGCTTCCCTCTCAGCCTTTCGAATCCTTTGCTGTCTGCGCCACTGGGATCTTGACATGGGGTTCCTTCCTTTGTAATTTTCTAATCTCAACTCCTCCCTTTTTGCTGTGTTGAATTGCCTCCTGTATGTCACAGCATGGCGTGCATTTCGTTCGGTGTTTCTCCATCTATCTTTGCCTTTGTCATTTCTGACTTGTAACCATCTATCGGTTGGCACTTCAGCAGGGAGTTTGAAAGTCACTCTTCGAGCAGCCTTGGGGTGAGGGCTATCAGGCCTTCGCTGCTTGTGTCTGTTGTCGAAACGTAGGCCCATCTGGACAGTTTCTTGATGGTTCCAGCAAGGGGCGAAGGGAATCGTTTTGAAGGCTCTGGCCATGCTTTGGTCATACACAGCAGAACACCTTGGGCAAATCAAGCACTTGGTTGCCCCTTTGTAGCAGCAAAACACAAATTCCAGCAAACTTTCTCCAGCCTTGGGATAACACCTAAAAAGCTGGTTATCCTGGCGCCAATTGTTTCCAGTTTGAGTCCTCTGTACCCTTTCGAAATTCACAGCGATTCTTTGATTGCAGAGGATGCTGCACCTAGGGCACAATATCATGCCTGAATCTCCTTTGTGGCATGTCATGAGATAATCCTTGAGACTAGCATCTCCAGTGTGATTATCCCCCATTCTATACTTTTCTTTTTCTAAGTATTTTTCTACTTCCTCCATCTCAGAGCGAGGTCTTTCCATATCCACCATATTTATTTCAACATCTTCCCCCTTAGCTTCCTCATCGCCCCATCCTGTGGGCTTTATATCCTTAATCTGAATCTTCGAACTCTCTGGGGCAGAATATTTGACCAAATAGTCAAATTTTCCACTGGGTTCCCCTAGAGTGTCCCATATTTCCTTCTGAGGGGAAATTGGCTTCGTGATTTGGACTTTCTCCAATTCCAGCCTCAAGCCTTCAGTGACTTGTGTTAGTTCCTGGTTTTGATTTCCCTGGCCTTCAGTAGCCTGGGTTTCTTTTGCAACAGCTACAGGTGCGGCAATCGAAGTCTCTGGCGTATTCTGGATGTCTTCAGTGACCTCCTTATTGACTTCGACCATCACCCAGTTTTCAGTTTCAGTACCCTTCTCTCCTGTTAGGGCGTCGCTTTGATCAGTTTCCACCATGTTGACCTCTCCAATGCATGCAGGCTCAGAGTAGTTGGTGTCTGCGACGTCCAAGGGATCTTCGTCCACTTTCATCTTCACCTTATCAGCAAACTTTAGTCTGCCATCTTTGATCGCGTTTTGAATTAGGTCCCTGAAAAGAAAACATTGTGAGGTTTTGTGGCCTAGGAAACTATGATATTTGCAAAATCCTCTCTTCTTTCTCTGATCCAAAGGAGGTATTTTGACATTTGATGGCACAATTAGTTGGCCATCTTTGACAAGTAAGTCAAAAATCTCGTCACATTTAGTGACATCGAAGGTATAAACCTTCTTTGGAAATTTGTCACTTTTCTCATTTTCAACAATGTCTTTCCCTTTTGTGGGAACTAACAATTTGCAGGAATAAGGCGGGGTCTGTTTTAATTCAGCGAGGTCGATTTCGACCTCTTCGAATTCGAATTCAGGATATTCTTCTGCTTCCTCAGTCCCAACATATGAAATCCTTTCTTTCTTGCTATTCTTAAAGACTCTGGCTTTTTCGGCCTTTAGTCTTTCGACCTGTCGAACCCTATCGGCTAACTGAGCCATATCCCTCAAATATTGAGTGTCTAGTTTCTTTCGAATAGAATAATCCAAGCCACCAGCGGCCATTTCGACTAACTCATGTTCAGGCACTACTGTGTAACATCTGGATTTCAAAAGCCTAAATCTATTCAGATAATCATCTATGGGTTCGGTGAACTTTCTCTTAACACTGGCCAATTCCTTCAAACTTATTTTCGACTGTCCCATGTAAAATTGTTCATAGAATAATCTCTCTAAGAGAGCCCAAGTATCAATGGACCCAGGAGGCAAAGTGGTAAACCATGTGAAGGCGTTTTTAGTCAAGGAACTTGGGAAGTATTTGATCCTGAGATCTTCATTATTGGCTATATCTCCCGCTTCGGTTAGATATCTCGCTATGTGTTCGACTGTTGACTCATTGGTATCCCCAGCGAACTTTGTAAATTTAGGGACTTTATATCCCCTTGGTAAATCAGTATGCATTATGCAATCCAATATAGGAGAAGCATAATTTGGCCTTCGCATTCCTGTGTTGAGGCCATTCTGGGCCATGACTCTCTCTATCATGGTGGTTAGATTGTTTTCTGCCAAGATGTTATCGTTTCGAATTCTATGAACGACAGCATCGGCATCTTGATTTCGACCAACCAAGACAACTCCCCTAGGTTGTTCTTCTCGAAACTCCGGGGCTTCTAGCCTTTCGACCCTTGCCCCTGGTTCCCTAATTTCTCTTTGTGGGCCTGGGATTATTGGGGCTTCTAACCTTGGTGCCATGGCCCCTAAGTTAACTTCTTCTCTGGGTGGTCTATAAATTGGGTCGTTAGCAATTTGTTCTATAACAGGCATGTTTGCTCGAAATCCCGCTTGATTCTGCCTACGCCTTTCTGGGGGAGCAAAGAAATCTGCTATTCGACTCATATTGTCAGCGTTTTCTCTGTTTGTCACAGTCACATTTTGCACTATTGGGGCAAATATCTCCTGCATGGTTTGTGCTAACACCCCTATCATATTATGGTTACTGTCATCCATCAATTGCCTAAAAGCCAACTGGTTGTCTGTGGTTAAGATAAGCATTGTGCTATAACCCACTGACCCTTGGTTATTTGTCATAAACGGATTCGCCCCAGACCCAGACCCTAGTTGTGGGGATGAATTCGATGTGGAATTGTGTAACCCTGCCATAAAAGATGTTGGCATTCCATAAGAGGAATTTCTGGTTCTATTCCCATAGAAACCGGGTGGTCTAGTTAATGGAGTGGCGAAATGGGATTGTGTCCCTGATGGTGGAACAAATCCCCCAGGGTAACCAATGGTTCCAGTATTTCCTAAGATCGAACTATTAGTTGATATGCCACTTACTCCATTGGTGGCTATGTTACTGGTTGAAGATGCAACAAACTGTGCATTCGAAGGGATCACATTAGATGTTCCGATCGAAGTGGACACGTTAGTGCCTGTCGTATGTGGGGCATTTTGTTCCCCTTGTTGATTGTCAGAATTAGACATTTTGTTCAAATGTTTTCTTCTGGATAAAGGTTGGTTGCTGTTGGTTATTTTACCACTTCTCAGGTTCATAAAACAACAAACTTCTTAGGTTCCAACGTTTTTTGTAATGGTTATGTCTCAACGATCTTTATTTCTAATATCCAATTATTGGTCCCACTGGGCGTGCCAATTTGTTTCCAGTGATTTCTGGTAAACAACCGCTAGTCTTCCAAACTATCGAATAATCTTTCTGACTGTTATTCAATTCCTCTGGTAACTCACAGGATCGACTAGATTGATCCTAGGATTCCTTGGACATTAAGGTTACTCTCATGATCGAACAGATATCCATGGTTGATATTTAAGTGTTGTATATGCGTTTGGCTTATTTCGATTTCTCTCTTAAAAGGTCTAAAGATGTAATCAAAATGTGCGTGTACGAAACTAAGTTGCATGAATAAACGTTAATTGTAAAGACATGTAAAATTGCATAAAAGGCAAGTAAATGGTTTCGAATTATAAAAACAGTTAATGTAAAGGATTTCTGGAACGTAAAAGGTTTGAAATATGAAGAAAGCGTTTAATGCAAGAAATCTGTAAATGACTTTAAGTAAAAATATGCGTTCGAAGGATAAGACTTGAAGGTAAAGGTATGGAAAATATGACAGTTTTCTGAAATGTAAAGTGCTTGAAATGTGAAGAAAGCATTAAAATGTAAAACTTTAAAGAAGAGATTTCGAAGTGAAAAGACTGTAAATGAGAAAACTTGTAAATGTTATTTGACAAAAAGATAAAGGAAAGTGCTGGAAATGGTAAAAGGTTTTTATTAAATCAGAAATACATGGTGCTATCATACGTACATTTCTCTTGCATTCGTTTCCCTTGCCATGTGGTAGTTTGAATGTTACTGAGTACTTGGTACAATAGATATGACACACGAAATCCTAATATTAAGACTTCTATTTATACTAATTCGACCATAACGGTCTTGCTATAGGATTACGCCACGTTCAAAACATGCAGAACAATGCCTCTTTCTTCTTTCCACGTGTCTCTCAAATGCTCCAACACATAAATTTCAAACTTCGAATGTCCCGCTTCCATTTGAATTTCAAATGCTTTGGTACTTCTCCGTTTCGAACGTACTTCCCAGACACAGCCTTGTTGTTATTTCGAGACTTCTTTAGATATATTCCCATAATTGCCACTCGAAGCTCCAGCTTTGACATGCTTATTCGAAACACTGCTTCTGCTACTTCGAAACATGACGTTTTACTTCATTTCGATCGAAACGTTTAATTCATTTGGCTTATAATAATATTATCAAAATCTTCAGCTAACAGCTATAGTTTAATCATTTTGAGTATTGTTTGTCTGTTCCATGCCCCATTTGCTGGTCCCAAAATCTAGGGTTTTGGTTTGAATCTGATGGTAATGTTTGATTTACCCTTGTTTTTTCTTAAAATGTGTAGGAATGGGGTTATTTCAGGTTGTCTTTTATACCAAAGGGTCATTTGTAAAGGATGAAGGGTTAATATATGAAGGGGGGATGTTTATGTTGTATATGGGCAAGACCCTGATTTCTGGTCATACTTTGAAGCATGTGACTTAATTAAGGGTATGGATTCATCGTTTAAAATTGAAGATGTGAAAATATGGTGGAAATCTGAACATGGCTCACTTGAAAATGATCTAAAACCCCTTGTTAATGATGAGGACGCAACAATGTTAGCTATGTGTGTTAAGGAGACTAAGTATGATGTTGAGATATATACAAAGGCAAGATTATCTAGTGGTGAGAAGACTTATATGTAGAGGTTAAAAGAGAAAGAAAAAAGTCATGTTTATGTTGAGGAAAATGAAGATGGTGAGAACAGTGAATCATCTGAAGACTCTTTAGATGGTATACACTTTGAAGATAGTGAAGAGGAGAGGATGCACGATTTTGATGAAGACATAAGTGAAGAGTTAAACAATTGAGTGGATAACGGTGCTGGTATAGTTGGAGTGCATAATGGTGATGGTACAGATCAAATGAATAATGCCGATGGTACATGTCAAATGGATAATGGTCAAGGGATACATAAAAGGATGACTACAACTGAGATGGATAGGGAACATGTAATTGATGATGGTTACATCACAAATGAGCTTGATAGTGGGGCAGATGATGATAGTGATGATAGGCCTTCAGTGACAAGGTTTAATGAAGATGAAAACCTTAGAAAAGAATTTAAAATTAAGGTGGAAATGAAATTTTCTTCTCTAAAGCAATTTAAAAAGGCTGTACTGGAACACAATGTGTTGAATGGTAGGGAGGTTAAGTTTGCCAAAAATGTTGGGACAAGGTGTAGGGTTGTTTGTAAGGACAAACAACAATGTGATTACACAGTTTTATGCAACAAGGTTTTTAGAACAACATCATTCAGGATCAAAACTCGATTTCAGAAGCACAAATGTGGAAGAAAGTTCTTTAACAAGAATGCTAATGCTGATTGGGTATCTAGAGTGATTATTGTCAAGTTGAAGAACAATTCAACTATGAAATTGAATGAACTTGTAGCAGATGTAAGATTGAGGTTTGCTACAGAAATTACTAGATGTAGGACTTTCAAAGCAAGGCAGCTAGCTAGAAAGATTGTTGAAGGGGACTCAACCAAGCAATATAATATGCTATGGTCATATGAAGCTGAATTGAGGAGGGCATCCAAAGGAAACACATGTAAGTTGAACATTTCTGGTTTGCCACCTAGGCTTAAAAGGTGCTACATGTGCTTTGATGGTACAAAGAAAGCATTGAAGGTTGGATGTAGACCATTCATAGGGTTAGATGAATGTCACATAATAAACAAATATGGTGGAATCTTGCAGGATAGGCCATCCTTACAATAATACAATACCATCTGAACCTGACATCCACAAAACTTTCCAACTCGCGATTTCACTTAAACAGAAGACATTATGTTATCAGGTCGCAGGAGAACGAAGATGAAAGAAGGAAGAAGATGAACAAATGAACTAAGTCTGGTGCAGATTTTCACGATGGAGGAAGAAGAAGGTGAACGAAGAGGAAAGAAATTAGGTCAAATGAAGTGTGGTTCATCTTTAAGAAGTGTCAGTATACATGCTGTATTTCATGAAAATATATAAAATAATTTATTTAATTCACCTGTCTTACCACATAAACAACCGTTAGTGAAATTTGACGTTAGAAATCAATTATTCAAATGAAATTTTTTAAAAGAATCAATTCTTAAAAAAAAATTAAAGAGAATAAAAATAAAATTTAAAATATTTAAAATGATAAAAAATTTATTTAATCTTTTTTTCTAAAATCAATAACAGCAAAAATCAGATCCGGCTTCTCTAAACCGTACTTAACAAGATGAAAGGGTTAATAATATCTTGACAAGCAACAAGCAAAATTCGTATTGCGGAAGATTCAATTCCGTTGGATATTAGGATCTTTGCGGTGTGAGACGGCATTGGAATAGGTAATTAATGTGATTGTAATATAATACACATGGTTAAAAAGTAAAAATGAAAAGCCAAAAGCATAGAACAAGATAGGAGAAAAATAAGATAAAAACAAATTAAAACCCCAGTGTGGTTTATCCTCCTTTTTTTTCTTCTTCAACTCTACAGCGACCTCATCTCTACAATGTCTTCTTCCTTTATTACTTCAAACCGCTTAACTCCAACCCTAACTACCCCTCCCCCTCGCCGCCGCAACAACTATATCGCCACCGCTCATCCTTCTTCAATCAAATGTCACCTTTCTTCTTCCGATGATAACAATGATTCCTTCAATTCCTCCCTTCTCAAAACCCTATCCACCACCGCCGTTGTTTCCTCCGCCGCCGCTTCCGCTTTCTTCCTCACTGGTTATCTCCATTTCCCCATCCCTAATTTGCCCGGACTCAATGGAGGCGGCGCAGGTGGAGGAGGCGGAGGAAGTGGAGGTGGAGGAAGTGGAGGTGGTGGAGGTGGCTGGTTTAACGGTGGCGAAGGATCGTTCTGGTCGAGAATTCTATCTCCAGCCAGAGCCATCGCTGACGAACCAAAATCACAAGATTGGGATTCACATGAGTTACCGGCGAACATCACGGTTTTACTTGGCAGGCTAAGTGGGTTTAAGAAATACAAAATTTCCGATATCGTTTTCCTCGACCGGAACACGAAGAGGAAAATCGGAACGGAAGATTCGTTCTTGGATATGGTATCTCTTAAACCTGGAGGGGTTTACACCAAAGCTCAGCTTCAGAAGGAGTTGGAAAGCTTGGCTACTTGTGGAATGTTTGAGAAGGTTGACATGGAAGGGAAAACCAATGCAGACGGGTCGTTAGGGTTGACGATTTCGTTTGCTGAGAGTATGTGGGAGAAAGCAGACCGGTTTAGATGCATCAATGTTGGTTTGATGGGTCAATCCAAACCGATTGAGATGGACCCTGATATGAGTGATAAGGAGAAGCTTGAATTTTTTAGAAGACAAGAGAGGGAATATAAGAGGAGAATTGAAGCTGCCAGGCCTTGTCTTTTGCCTTCTTCGGTTCATAAGGAGATTAGGGATATGTTGGGTAAACAAGGGAGGGTTAGTGCTAGGTTGTTGCAGAGGATTAGGGACCGTGTTCAGAGGTGGTATCATGACGAAGGTTATGCTTGTGCTCAGGTTGTTAATTTTGGTAACCTTAATACACGTGAGGTTGTGTGTGAGGTTGTTGAAGGGGATATTACTAAGTTGTCTATTCAGTATTTGGATAAACTTGGTAATGTTGTTGAAGGTAACACGGAAGGTCCTGTTGTTCAAAGAGAACTTCCAAAACAGGTGTGTATGTTTGTAAATGTGTTTGCTGGTAATGTTTGTATGAAGTTAAATGTGATTCATGTTTTGTGGCTATGGTTATTGTTTTGTGACTTGTTGGTGAATGTTTGTTTGTGTTGGATCGACAGCTTCTACCGGGTCATACTTTTAACATTGAAGCTGGGAAACAAGCTTTGAGGAACATAAATTCCCTTGCTTTGTTTTCCAACATTGAGGTGAATCCACGGCCCGATGAGAAGAACGAGGGAAGCATAATAGTTGAAATTAAGCTCAAAGAGTTGGAGCAGAAATCAGCTGAAGTTAGTACCGAGTGGAGTATTGTTCCTGGGCGAGGAGGACGTCCCACTTTGGTATTTGCGCCGAATTGATAGTCTATGTTGTTTGTTGAACATTGATCTTTGTTTGCCCAATTTACGTGTTTGTTTTCCGTTCAATGTTCATACAGGCTTCGTTGCAGCCGGGAGGGACTATTACTTTTGAACATCGGAATCTGCAAGGATTAAATAGGTCACTTACTGGTTCGGTGACAACTAGCAACTTCTTGAATCCTCAGGTACCCTATACTAGTCCATTGAGCTATTTTCCCCATTTTATTATTCGAGTTCTTTAGTTTATCATCTATGTAGACACAAGCAGTAAAATTTTGTTAAATTCACTTCATGTACTGCTGTAGGATGATCTTGCATTTAAAATGGAGTATGCACATCCGTATTTGGATGGTGTAAATAATCCACGGAACCGAACTCTCCGTGTAAGCTGCTTCAATAGCCGAAAGCTGAGTCCAGTGTTCACTGGAGGGCCAGGAGTGGATGAAGTGCCTTCAATATGGGTTGACCGTGCTGGTGCAAAAGCTAATATCACTGAGGTAATTTTACTGGTTATTTTACACTAATCTTCCTGACTTGGCTTTTTGGGTTGTTTGTATCTTTCTTTTTAACTTGCAATTCTTGTTTTCCAAGCAGAATTTTTCTCGTCAAAGTAAATTCACTTATGGATTGGTAATGGAAGAGATAATAACACGTGATGAAAGCAATCACATCTGTTCCAATGGTCAAAGAGTATTACCTAATGGAGGAATTAGTGCAGATGGACCTCCAACCACCCTTAGTGGTACTGGTATCGATAGGATGGCGTTTTTGCAGGCTAATATTACGCGGGATAACACAAGGTTTGTGAATGGAACTATAGTTGGAAGCAGGAACATGTTCCAGGTGACTATCATTCTCCTATAATTGTTGCTGTTGATTTTGTTTCAAATAAGAGTGTACCATTTTTATTTTTTAGTGGATGCTTCCGCCACTTCCATTTTTGGTTAGGATTTAAATCTAGACTTTAGTGGGGGAAGAAAATAAAAAGGATGCATCTAACTTTTTATGGAGATATCCCCTCCCAGATATTCTCAAAATCCTTTAGATCACATCTAACTATTTTATATTGTTAAAATAAATCAGTTGGCTTTTGTTATTCCTCCCACATTAGTCAACACTTCAAATGTCCTAATTGTGTGCGTCTCACATTAACTAAATAATATGGCACTAGGTAGTGCTTCTTATAGGCTTGGTGAGTCCTGAGCTTATTTATAAGTTGGTTTTGCTTGGATGTGTTAAGCCCTAAGCCCACTCAAATTCCAAGACTTCTAATTTCAATTTTTTTAACCTACGAGCAGTCCTTTATGATAAATGTCTCGTTCCTCTTATTTTTTGTGGGCCTTTGAAACAACTGACCAGAATTTTTATTGTGGATGTTCACAGCTAAAGTTGACGAGGGATGGGTTTTGCTCCCTTCCATTCATTCTTCTTCCCTCCCTCTAATCAAACACTATATTACTGTAACTTCGAGGATACAAGAGATTGGTGCTTAATAAATTTATAATTTTGATCTTGAAGTTTTCTATGAGTAGAAATATGTTTTTATATTTCATGTTGGTAAATAATACATAAGATGCATATATAGTCCCGATGGCTGAGAAGGGAGAGCTAATTTAGCTGATCTTCAACACTATGCTATGCTCTAGGCTGACGGTTATCTCTTTATATACAAACTGCAGGTAGATCAAGGCCTTGGCATTGGTACCAATTTCCCATTCTTTAATCGTCACCAATTAACTGTGACTCAGTTTATCCAATTGAAGTCTGTGGAGGAAGGTGCTGGTAAATCACCACCGCCAGTGCTTGTCCTCCACGGCCACTATGGTGGCTGTGTAGGTGATCTTCCAAGTTATGATGCTTTTACTCTTGGGGGTCCCTATTCTGTTAGGGGTTACAACATGGGTGAGATTGGAGCAGCCAGAAACATCCTCGAGGTACAAATGACTGTGTACATCTATGATTGTCAATGGAGATACGATAGTAGTTTTGATTCTCCAAATTTAGATATTAGTATTCTGCAAACAACTATCTTATTTTCTGTTTTTTCTTACAGCTGGCAGCTGAGGTACGTATACCTATTAAAGGTACACACGTGTATGCCTTTGCAGAACATGGCACTGATCTAGGAAGTTCGAAAGATGTCAAAGGAAATCCGACTGTAGTCTATAGGCGAATGGGTCAGGGGTCCTCTTATGGTGCTGGTATGAAGCTTGGTTTAGTAAGAGCAGAATATGCTGTTGACCATAATTCAGGAACAGGTGCAGTATTTTTCCGGTTTGGAGAAAGATTTTGAGGTGCAGTCATAGTGTATGTTTGGTTCTTTTCGTCTGCAGAAGGAATTTTTTAGCCATAGGTGCTTGAATCTTATAGAATTTGGATTAAGTGAACACCATGCTGGTATTGGGTTTGGTTTTCTCTAGGTTACTCAAAATTGGTGTAGGTTCAGTGAAAATATTAAGATTATATATTATCCTGCTGTCTACTATCGAGAATTTCTGCGGCTTATGATCAATGTCCAATTCATGAGAACGGGAGCAACTTAGTGATTTCAAATGTATTTCAATTTTTTCCCTTGTGATGAATGATTGTTGGAGAGTACTGGCAATTATTGATTTGATATTAACCTATTAAATCTGTTAGTTGATGAAACAATTCTGCCAATTTTTTGTGCCTCGATCTTTTCTTCTCTTCTGGTACCATTTATAACTGAGGATACTTGAAATTATTAAAAGGTCTTGGTAATGAAGTTTGGTTAAGAGACAAGTAAAATTTGTTTAAATATTATTTTAACTAGAGATCAAATTCGATTATTTCTGATTGATTTGGCTTTAATTAATAATCATTATCGATATGGGCTCGATGACTTATTGGTTTCACTAGATTTTGAAACTCCTTTGCAGCCAAAATATGTAATCCTTTCATCTATATAAAATAGATAAATAAAACCTTTATATTCAGCACTGTAACTTAAAAATTCTTATATTGAAAACTGTTTTTACCCGTTATTACAGGCTATATAAGCTTTACCTATTTGCAGGTGAGTTCTTTTGATTTGAAAATTTTAGTGTGCATTTGTATCTGCTTTCAATTTGAAACCAAGCTGTAAAACATAATCTCAGAGCATTCATATCCATCATATCTATTTGGGTTTTTTAAATGGGACTCACATAATTTTTTATATTATTTTACCCTTCTCAATTTTTTAAACACTCATCTACGATTCTCAAATATCCATGTAACTCATCAAAAAATCTAAAATGGGTCCCACATATAAAACAAATCAATTACATTCTTACAATTTTATTTATTAATTTATTATCATGACCCACTTAATTGGAGTGTAGAAGCATGCTTTAGTATGAGGACATGTTCTTTAATAAATGTGTAGGAACTCTCAAAAAACACCTATAATCATGTTCTCATAAAACAAAATGAAACATATCGAAAATAGTGGAAAGTGATGGAATGAGATCAAATATATTTCATCTTTGTTCTATCTCCACTCCGTCCGCGCAAAAAAAACAAAACATAAGAGTTTGTGAGATAGATTCATCCTCCAATCCAATGTGATAAGTCATGAATGCATAGCAACGGGGGTCTTTATGAACCTTAGAAATAAGATAAAAAGACATTCTAAGAATCTGAGTAACCGCAATTTATTTTTAATTAGCATGATTTTTCCAATACTTTTCCTCTTATTTACAAATTTTACAAAGTTTGATATAAACAATTATATTTGAAGTTAAAAACAACCCATAAAATGCCTTTAAAAAATAGACATGTTATTTTGAACGGATAATTGAACGCTGGTAGTGTGTTAGTAGCTTCGTGTTTGCTATGCATGTTCTGGTAAGAAGCAGAATATTCGTATGCATTCCCGCCAAAAATGTCATTCCCGACCATCGATTTTTCCGATCAGAACCAGAATCCTACTACGCTAAACTCATCGAAATCTACACTCATGATCGAGCATTGCAGCAAGGAAAGAAGCTTCATGCGCACCTAACAACCAACGGCTACGCGCGTTTCAACCTCGTCGCATCCAATCTCGTAGCGTTATACGCATGCTGTGGCCACCTCTCCCTTGCCCGAAAACTGTTTGACAAAATTCCCCCAACAAATGTTCGCCGTTGGATCGCCCTCATAGGGACATGTGCTCGCTGCGGCTTTTATGATCACGCTCTCTCCGTGTTCTCCGAGATGCAAACTATCCATGGCTCAAAACCGAACAGCGTCTTCGTGATTCCTAGTGTCCTCAAAGCTTGTGGCCACATTGGTTACCGAATCTACGGAGAGCAAATACATGGCTTGATCTTGAAGTGTTCGTTTGAGATTGATGCTTTTGTTTCAAGTGCTTTGATTGTTATGTATTCTAAGTGTGGTAAAGTTGAAGATGCACGTAAGGTGTTTGATGGAATGGATATGAAGGATTTGGTGTCTCTGAATGCTGTTGTTTCTGGGTATGCTCAACAAGGGCTTCCAAATGAGGCGATGGGTTTGGTTGAAAATATGAAATTGATGGGTGTGAACCCGAATGTGGTGACTTGGAATGCGTTAATATCTGGGTTTGCTCAGAAATGTGACAGAGCAATGGTATCTCAAATTTTCAGGTTGATGATTGAAGATGGCGTTGAGCCTGATGTGGTGTCATGGACTTCTGTTATATCTGGTTTTGTTCAGAACTTTCGAAATGAGGAAGCTTTTGATATGTTTAAGCAAATGTTGCATCATGGGTTCTGCCCAACTTCGGCTACTATCAGTGGGCTTCTTCCAGCTTGTTCTACTGCGGCAAGAGTGAGATTTGGGAAGGAGATGGAAGGAGATTCATGGCTATGCTTTGGTGATTGGTGTGGAGGAAGATGTATATGTAAGAAGTGCTTTGGTTGATATGTATGCAAAATGTGGGTTCATTTCTGAAGCTAGGACACTGTTTTATAGGATACCAGAGAAGAATACTGTGACTATGAACTCTATGATTTTCGGTTATGCGAATAATGGGTATTGCGAAGAAGCTATTGAGCTCTTCAATCGGATGGAGATGGAAGGGGTAACCAAACTAGATCATTTAACTTTTACTGCAGCTCTTACAGCATGTAGTCATGTTGGAGATATTAAACTTGGACAGTGGCTATTCAAGATTATGCAAGAGAAATACTGCATTGAGCCACGATTGGAGCATTATGCGAGCATGGTGGATCTATTTGGTCGAGCAGGGAAACTCGAGCAAGCGTATGGCATAATCAGGACAATGCCGGTTGAGCCTGATTTGTTTGTTTGGGGTGCATTATTGGCTGCTTGTAAAAATCACGGGCACGTGGAGCTTGCAGAAGTGGCTGCCAAGCATTTGTTGAAGTTAGAACCAGACAGTGCTGGGAACCGTCTCCTGTTGTCCAGCTTGTATGCCGATGCTGGAAAATGGGGAAGAGTTGAGCGGATCAAGAAAAGGATAAAGAAGGGAAAACTAAGAAAACTTCAAGGATTGAGTTGGATAGATAATTATGTATAATAACTGTTATTGGTAAGTGAATGATTGTTTATGTTGAGGTTACTTTGCAAATTTGTTTAATAGAAAAAGCCAAGAGGATTCTAGTAGTAACCATTCACTTAAGAAAAACTCCAAGAATTAAAGCCTAAACAAAACACGAGTATCAATACCCATAGAGTGACTATGAGCAAAATTGGCAAGAATAAACTAACATTTACTTAAAACCTAAACTGTCTTATTAGTATTTTTTTGTTCATAGTCAGTGGCTACAAAGAGGAGAGACGCCACGATAGGGCAAGCCTCCAACTACTTTTCATATCATATCTTCGATATCGCAAATTGATAGAAAAATTAAAAATCAGAAATTAGAATATTATGAAATGCATTTAAATGTTATTTTGTTAAATTATAAATTAAATTTCATATTTATTTTTTCAGAATCAAGTGTGAGTTGTGATGGTGGACTTGTGGTACTACAAGTCTCTTGTATTGTTGAACACATGGATATACTTGTAAGTTTACCACTCCAACACTTAAGTCAGTGAATGCGTTTAATAAGAGATAAAGTGAAATATGAAAAATATGTGTACCATAAGCCTTATCCAAGTAGAAGCATATATACATCTTGGTCAAATAGTTATTGGGCTTTGTTTTGGAGCAGCGGACGAGCTTTCTTTATTTGGTCAATTGACAAGTCCAAAATAGTTACCCCCTATACTTGCTATGAGATGTTAAATGGAAAGTCTTCCAGAATATGTGCTGACCTTGCAATGCTAAGTTGAGTATGGACGGAAATTGACGGGTTCGACCACTAGGGAGTGAGGTACATACTCATTAAATGTACGTTTCACATAATTTTAAATATGTGGCCCTAGGCTAGCAAGTTAGGACATGTCGCTTCCGTCTAGGAGGCTTGAGTGGACTTGAGCATTGTGGTGGGTGCAATTTGACAATTGTTTTTTGTATTTCCATTTTCTTTTCACCTGGATTGTTGCTTGCTTGATTCACCAGTTCTTATATAAGATTCACTTGATTTTCTAAATGGATTCTCACTGTCGGTACTAATTGAAGTATACCTGGTCTTTGAAAAACCATCATTTCTTTTTCAAAATTTTGAAAATCCCTGATTACGGTGCCCCTTTTCTTTATCGAAGTAGGGTATCCTTTGAGTTGTCCTTAAGTTTTCTTGCTTGCCTTCATTTCTTTGACTCAACTTCCTTTTAGGTACCATTTTTAACTCCTGACTCCTATTTCATACTTTCCATTTCTTTATCTTTGTAATGACCCATATGAATGAGCGACTTGCTAATTCGAAAAGTAGTTCTGTCGGCGGTTATCTTTCGTCATTTGTGGGGGAAAAAACCCAAATGATTCGAATACTAATTCTTGGAAGCATATTCTCTCTGATTTGAGTCATGTGGTTATTTCTGATAGATCTTAAATTAATGGTGCTTCAAATAAATCTATTTTTGGGGAGAACTTTTCTGACAGGTCTTCTAGCCGTTTTTTTGTGATGAGTGACGAGAAGCCCGTTGGGGGTGTTCGAATTGATGATGTTATCCAAGAGGGTCTCTAACGACTCCCCCTTCTAGTCGATCATTTATCATCTACAGAGATTGCCGCCTGAGATGAGCGAACACTTCAACACTTTGTTCAGTCATTTAAAAATACTCACAATTATGATACTACTGAGGCTGATATCAAGTGTCAAATCAAACTTTGAAACTTGACAATCGTGTTTTGTTGGCATTGCCTGCTGCCTGAAGGTTTGGGAGGTCTCCTCTTTCTAGAGTCGGTTAGTGCGAATC